GGTCATTAAATTCTAAGAACAGGTTCGCACGAACCGGTGCAAACCGGCTGAATCCCACCACTGCATACAAACTAAAAACAAATCTTAATCGAAAAATTTGAGTTTTAAGTTTTAGAAATGGTCTTGATGCTTATGAAAATTTCTTTGAGATCCATTTAGTGGCATGTAAGAAAACTTGCTTGCCTTTATTTAGGTGTTTTCTCTTGAAGTCAACATATTCTTTGGTTATCTTGGAGCGATAACTAAATTACATTATAACATTACATTTAATGTTTTGTTTTTTCCTATTTCTGAAGTATTAAACTTCATAGTAGGTTTTAAGAAACGATTTCTAACATTGAGAAAAAGACTGTTTATTTTTTACAAAATCTAAAATTTAGTTTAAGGAAAGCTTGTTATTTGTGCAAGTTTTTAACTTGGCATGTTTTCATTATAGTTTTCTCCTCATGTGGATTCCTTATTAGCCTCTGTGTCATATGATTTTTCAACAAGGTATGTATGCTAAAGTTTACTAGGGCTATTAATTAATAGTTGACTGAAAGAAAAGCTGAATAAATCCTTAAAGCTTGAACTATTTCACACAGAAGTTTCATGAGCAGTGTTATGAGATTATTGTGTAATAATACTCATTTTGTTTTTATTGTAGTATATCTAGCAATAACAATGTCTTTTTCTAAAGGTATACAAATTTAACAGTAATTTAAATTGGATATGATAAGAAAACAAACAAATCATCATTACACAGGTTTGAAAGAAAATTCATTTCAAAAATGAAAAATTGTTATAGCTTTCACAAGTGTAACTTAATTCCCAAAGTTAGGTCATCAGTTATAATCCACACCAAAAGTTCACAAAAAATAAAGCTTAATATAAACTGTGGTGAACAATAGGTCTTCTGCATGAATTAAATGAAATAAAACATTGCTGTTAAAAAGTGTTCAATCATTTATTACAAAATAGCACCAAGCTCAACAGATAATTACATGTTTTATAATGGTCAGTATTACTTCGCCATCATCAAAAGGTGCAAACTAACAATGAAAGACAAGCTTACGTACCTCCATATTGATGTACAAACTTATTATTCAGATTAGTTATGTGATAATATCTTCTGGCAAAATTTCCATTTTGCATTATCACATTAGTTTGGGATGACTAAAATGGTTACAAAGTAGTTAACATTTTTTTGAGGACATGCCACAGCACCAACATGATGTTTTCATTCATAAACTGTACAGCAAGAATGAATGAGACAACTTTTGAACTGTTAGTTAATATATCAGATGTAAATTAAGTTTCACTCCATCCACAAGTAGCTACAGAAATATTTTGATGCACATTTAGTGAACAAGGGAACTGTAGATTGCATATTGTACATGATGCATTCAAATATGGGGTAGTGCTTCAGAATTAATTACTAAGCCTCCTGACAAATTCGCATCTCGTGAACAAGGGGGAACTGTAGATTACATATTGTACATGATGCATTCAAATATGGGGTAGTGCTTCAGAATTAATTACTAAGCTTCCTGACAAATGCACATCAGCTATTTAAAGATTTATCAGATCAGAACTAATTATGCTGAACATTAATTCAAGACTTTTTTTTTTCCTTGTTATTGTTGTTATATATAATGATATATTTTGGAACAAAATCTACTTGTTGGTATTTTAATTTAAACATTGTCATAATCAAAAAGAAATTTCTATTTGGTAAAAATATGCATTAGGCAGAATTTAAATCTATTTCATAGATAAGTTTAAAAGGTTGTAACAAGCTTGGGCAGACTTTAAATCTATTTTTTAGATGAGTTGAAAAGGCTGTAACAAGCTTGGGCAGACTTTAAATCTATTTTTTAGATGAGTTGAAAAGGCTGTAACAAGCTTGGGCAGACTTTAAATCTATTTTTTAGATGAGTTGAAAAGGCTGTAACAAGCTTGGGCAGAGTTTTAAATCTATTTTTTAGATGAGTTGAAAAGGCTGTAACAAGCTTGGACAGTTTAAATCTATTTTTTAGATGAGTTGAAAAGGCTGTAACAAGTTAGAAATATTGACATTAAATTTTCTGAAAATTGCTTTTGTCAAATGTTTACTGAACCATATTTAACTGTAATCTTAAAAATTTGTATTTACTCAACTTATGAATGTGAAACTAAACTGTCCAATTATTGAAGGGCCTTAAAGAAAGCATTATTTTGATAATGTTGAGGACTTCAGGATTAAATTCTGGCCTACTTGCATGTTTACCCAAAAAACCTGCAAATAAGGTACTCCACTCAGACCAGTCACCTAGAACATAAACTTACATTCACAATTTTGAAAGTTTTTTTTTTATTTAATTATATTAAAATAACTTCCTTGTAGCATACTCAAAAATGGCTTTGAGTTCTCACTTTATCAAAAAATCTGAAGTTTAAGTTTTCCTAGCTAGTTTTGATGTTACCTCATTGTATATCAAAATATGAGTGTATGAAACAAGATTTACTAACTAGTAATTGTCTCATAATGTCAAGACTGTTTGTGGTCTTTCTAAATTAGCTTTTTAAATTCTAGAATTCTCAAACAAATGGTCAACCAAATTGTCTAGCTCCTTTCTTTAATATTTAAACATCCTCTTTTGGAATCTGTATTTAAGTTGCAAAGTCTGGTAAGGGTTTGCTGTTTTGTTCCTGAATTCTGTAAAGAATTTCATAATTTACATCCTATAGCATGCAAAACTGGCATTTCTCTTTTTGTTTTCCTCTATCCATCAGATAACCAATTTTTAACAGTAATTTTGGGTTAAGAACTGTTCAGAATTAAAAGTAAGTTAAAAAAAAAAAAATGCAATGCTCATTAGTTGTTTAGCTATGGATGTCAGTCATGTTAATAGTAGAAAATGCCAATTACAAAAACACTAATGAACAGTATCAAAACTCTTAAACGCGTCCAGCATGTGTGTTTTGTAATAGTTCAGTTACATCCAGTTACTTCCAAATTTTCTTCGGTTTGTAGTGAACGTGAGTTAAGAGTAAGGGAAGCTGCTTTCACCAACAATCTAAAACTTTCTTGGACAAAGGGCTTGGAGGGAAGTTATTGTACCTAGTCAAGCTTAAGGCTATATCTTTGTTTTAACTTAGTATTACATGATGGCATTTAATTAATTTATTTATAGGAAATTAACTGACAAATAACTATATCCATGTATATCCATCTCCATGTTAAAACAAGTGTATCTCTTCAAGCTTTAAGGTTAAACTAGTACTCATTGTTAGTCTTTCATGATTGATGTGAACAGTTTCACAAAGCATTTAATAATCATGGCAGTTTATTGATACAACAGAAAAATTGTGCAACTGACAGTAAATAACACCACTTAACAACTAACTACAAACTTTACAGGTGCTGTAAGACTTAACTTCTTACAGATTCCTTCAGTCGAGCTTTAATAATGGCTAATATTTCTTTGAATTTAATGCAGGATAAGTTATCTCTGATTAGTTCTAGAAATCTAGTTGTAATTGAGTTTTTGCAATGCTACCCAATGAAATAGACAAATTTACCATCTTAGTTTTTATTGATGTTGCATTTTAAGTGTATATCTTACTACTCAAATTGTCAACCTTCCCACCTATAATGCTTCCTCCATTGGTCAAAAATGTGGTTGTATAGATTTTTTTTTAATTAACATTTAGTTGATATTAAATGTTACAATCCTTATGAGTATGAACTTTAACCTCTGTGGAGAACACTGTGTAAAATATTTCTGGTTTTCAGTCTGGTTTTAAAGGTATGGAATTTTGTGAACCATGTGTTAACATTTTAAAATTTTGTGTCACAGCTAACTTGTATATGTCAGTTTCCATTCTTCATAAATATTGTATCACTTAGATTTTATCTTAATTATGTCTTTTTTTTCTGTTGTTGTTCCACTTGTTGATTTTTTGGAGAAAAATATTTTGTACACTATTTATAATTTGTACATTTATGCAAAGATATCTAAATTATTACTAATATATTTTAAACTTTTCAATTGAAAGATGAGTCAGTAAATGGGGAAGAAACTATGACTAGAAAGGGGTAATGGGTGGCTGTTAGCATTTTTGGTAAGAAAAATAAAAAGGTTAGCAAAAAATCAGATTTTATTTTACATTATGGCTGAGAACCATAATTAGGATGATTTAGGAAGGGCTATTTTTTTCTAAACTAAGTCCTTGCCTTATGTATAATGTGTGTACTGTTACATTACCGTTATTTTTTACCAGTATTAGTATTGTATGATAAATATTTATTGATGTTTCAACAAATTTCTAATCATTTTATATAATTGAAATGTAATGTTGTACCATAAAAATATGTTGTAGATATTTCTACATAAATAACCATAATTTGTGCAATTTGATTTTGAAATATTCATTACTGTATGTAGTATTTAATTTTCTTTCAACAGACTTTGGAATTGGAAGGTTTCTCCATCAGCACTCCATGTATTGGAGAACCACACTGAGTTTGTATATGGGCTGGATTTTAATGCCCATGTTAATAACCAAGTAAGTGTTAATTTATTTTCTATGATACAGCTACTGATTTCTCACTCTTAAGACATTTTGTGTGGTGTAACTGGCTATTACTTAATAGTTATAATTGGTATTTCTCTTATACAATAGTGATAACTAAATAGTTTGAGAAGCATCAAACTGAGACTTCCTGTGGTATAACTACTAGATTCTTATGACGATGACTCTATCTAGTTTGAGGACCAGGAAAACAGATCTCGTGATATCTGTGTAGTTATTAAATTCTTATAGTAATAGGGAAGTACTAAGATTTTATATGATTGATGTAATAATTCTTGCATTATAGAAATGATGTGAGAGATTTCTTACCACTTCTTTAAGAACCACTGTGTTTCTGGTTGTGGTATTGTAACAGTGGTAGTATATCTTCAGTTGAGTTCATACCACTCTGGAGAATCATCTAGTATTTCTTGTTATTGATTCATATTACCAGTAAAATTCTATCTGTTTGTAACTTCATACCACATGTTAAACATTTTAGATTGGCTATTTACTATTTCAAGATGTATTTCTAGTTATGTGGAGAATCACCTAATATGCTTCTGGTTGTTATCATGCTACTTTATCAAAATATTATATAACTTGTGTAATTTTTGCTGTGGTTTCATACCATCTGGTACTTTGAATCAAGAAGGAGCCTATAATGCAGTCAAAATCAGTCTGAAAGAACATAGACTCCAAGGTGGTGTGCATGATTTGTTTTATGAAAGATCTTAAGAGAGAGAGGATGATAAGATACTTATTCCTTTCAGCTTTGTGTATGAGAGGGACTAGATCTGTCAGAATTTAAACTTCAGAAAATTGTTTCTTGCAGGCATGACAATCTTCTGTGTCTACATGGATTTACATTTTTTTTCAGGCAAATTTCACTTCATGTTTGTGATTTTTGTATATAGTCTTCCTTAGTTCTATATATTTAAGTCATAAACATTCAAAAAGCCTTCTTCACCTTGTAAGAAATTTTACGAAAATTGATCTTACATTGATAGATTTATGGATGGGAGAATTAAGTAAAGATAAATAGGTTTTATTTTGCATGCTTTAATACATGTCTTATTAAAGTTTTCCTTTTTTTTTTATAGCTCGTTGACTGTGGATGGGATGAACTCATACAAATGTATAGACTGCACTTACCACCAAATACATAGTCCATTTTTTTCAACTATTAGCTATGGGTTTCTAATTGTTATTTAAATGACTTTTTTTAGCAACTAAACTATAGGCCATGGAGTATGTTAATATCATGTTAAGAGTTCATGAATCTGTTTTGGAGTTCAGTGGGATTTTTAGAATGTTATATAATAGGCTAATTTATAAAAAAAACAAATAAGAAAAAAATTTTGCAGGTTAAGTTCTATTCAAGCAAATGTTAATTAATAGCAAATTCTTAGTTGATTAGTACATTAATATAGACTATACAATTAGTAGTTTATTACTCAATTTTCTTATCAAGAAAACAAAACTTATTAAGTATATAAATACCTGTTTAAGGAAGTCAACAGATTGTCTTACTGAATAGTAGAGAAAGCATGTTGTGCTGCCGACTTTGTACATTAGTTGTTTAAAAATGTCTACGTTTTTGCAATCCCAGATTCCCAAAGTCATTAAGTGCTGGTAAACTAAAGGAAGGTAAATTCTGTTAAGTGAATACATCACTCTGAAAGTGAGAATGTTCATTGGATTTTCTTTTTAACTTTAATTCAATTCTGCCCTCTATAAATTGTAACATTTTTTTATAAAATTGTTAGCATTATAATTTTCAGTACGTTTTGTTTTGTTTACCACGTTGTTGCTCCAGTAACATTTTTATACTAAGATTTGTATTGTTTTAAGAAAGGTTTCAACACAAAGTGAAATTGAAAACGGCAATTTGTTAACTTTAGTATGAAGTGAAATACATATTCTCTGTAATATTAAGTTCATAATAAATATTCATATTAGAAAAACATTCCTGCTCTTTTCATAATTTTAATTTTTTGCACAAGCCTTTTTGTTCAGGAAATAATAAAAGTTTCTATTGCACATGCAGTGTGTTTCATTGCAACTTGATTATCATTATGGACTCATTGTACAGTACAATACTGGGAGTCAGGCTGTGGATCAGAAGGTCCCAAAATTCAAAGTGTGCTGCTCAGTATACTCTACACCTACAGTGGTGGGCACATTACAAAAGTGATGGTCAGTAATGTTACTTTGGGATGGCAGATGTTTTTGACTGGCTGCTGCTTTCCATCTGGTCAGTAGTTCAAAAGTAAGGATGGCTAAACCCGACTCATACTTTTCTTTGTCCATTTATCACGTATGAGCATAAGGTACCATTCAGGCTGGAAGTATCAAAACCAATGTTATAATTTCTCAATCTAAGACTTTGTGAATGCATTGTCATGTGTTAGGCTACAAGCCATTTACGAAACTCTGATCTTTCTCCTGTAATCCAAGTATGTCACGCAGCTGATGCTATATTTGTGTTTTCAAACTGAAATTTGTATTGCATATGAAAAAAAACTTAAGCTTGTCTTCAGTTTTCAGTCATCACTGAAGTGCAGTTGTATGATGTAACTGTTAGGCATTGGATTTCCAACTAAATACTGATGTGTGATGCTTCATTAGTACACATTAGTTTTTGTCCATGGTGCAGATATGACATGGTTGATGTTGAACATCAGTTTTCTTATGAAATCCTACATTAGTGATTTGTGACATCGTTGATGCTTGGCTTTATTTTACCATCAGAGTTCAGCACTACATAAGTCACATTACACTGACTTTCATATTTAACCATACATACATTTTGTTAGACATCATCCGTCATATTGAACATTGCAAAGACATGTGACATTACTTTAGCTGTCATACTAAATGCTGCTTTTACCTTTATGTGACGTTAGATGTTGGATTTTCAACTTAAATTGTAGCTGAGAGTAGTAGAAGGTGCCTAACATTGCTGATAATAAACAGCTTAATTTGTACACTTGTTATTAATCCCAGGTTCAACACTTGACAGTTTAAACAAAAGTGGTTACTACTAACAAGTTGCCTCCCAGTAGTTGTTGGTTTAGAATTACGGACTGTGCAGTGCTACCGTTACTGCACACTGACAAATGTGCTGTGGCAGGACTCCACAGTTGGAAGGAGGGAGAACCTGTGCTAAAACTCTTCTAGCATAAAAATAAATTGCGTTTTAATGAGGGCCTATATGTTATGATTGAAAGTCCAGACTTGCTGTAAAGTGGGGATATATTATCCTTAAAATAGGTGTTTGGTATACATAACATTATTAAATTAAATTGTCTACTTGCATTTTTCACACATCTTGGTAAACCCATAGTTTGCAAGCTACTTGTTTCACATACTCATTGTCACATTAAAAGCAGTAAATTATTCATTCTTTTGTGAAAGTTGAGACTAAATTTCAGAACATTTAGCTTCAAATATTTTGTTCTTAATCTTTAATCAAAAGCGTACTATACCTTAACTTCTACACTTTATACGTACACAATTAAAAAATAATATTATAATGGAGCTTGCTATGTATACGTTCAAAGCTACCGCACCGACCATCACCAGTAACTGGGTAATATTTTTATAGCTGAGCAGTAAATAAAACAATTAAAATTTTCACATATGTTTCAGATTTAACCAACAAAAATAACAAAAGGAGTAAGTTTCAAATATAAAACAATCAAAAAGACAAACTTAAAAAAATATTTGTTTTTCTTTAGTGAAAATCTCATGAGTGTTGCAACAGAAAAGCAAGGCCCTTTCATTGATAACTGCTTCTACTAAGAAATACTTCAATAAAATGTAATTCTGTGATGATAGCTCATTTTTAAACTAAAATTTAAATAACATCCTTTCTCATGGATGGTGAACCTTATTGTGTCAGGTATGAGAACACTGTCAGACAATTCCAGAAAAATGTCGGAGAGCTGGTATTTCTGCTAGTAATAAAAAAAATCGAATATCAGCCAATGGTTGAACACTAATTAAATGAAACTAGTAAGGAGAGTTGGTTGAATATGTTAAATGAGTTGAAACAAATCTATAAGTAATTTAAATAAAACTTGTAGCCGTAATTCTCTTTCAGCCTGTAAGAATCTAAAAACACTGATTGATGTCTTTAATTAATCCTTATTGAGGTTTTCATATGGCTTGTTACTAAGGTAAAATGTTTGAAATTTCTAGTGTGGTTAAAATTTTTTTATTTTAAACTGAAAGAACCGTCTTAACTGAATCGACACACTTCGTTCAAGAACATATTCACACGTTTACAAAAATTCAATAGCATAATTAAAAGAATGAGAATAAAGTTAATGTGTCAATAAAAGACATTTGATTTACGTTCGAAAAAGGTTAAATTCGTTAATTTATGGCTATTATTAACCCGCGTGGAAACGGTTATCAGCTTCAATATTCGAATATTTATCAATTTTTTGTTTTCATCAAAATTTAATATTTACACCTGTATTTAGATATATCTATTTATGATTATTAACAAAATATTTCCAACAACGAGAAATGTTTGAATTAGTAGCACATTGAAAATTTATATAAATCTCCCACTTGTTACAAATGTGTGGCTTCCTTTGTGTCTGTACTTATTAGTTTCACGTGATTAGCTTGCCAAGTACTTGATGTGGCTGCTTACTGATTGAATATGTAGTTAAAGCTTATTGGAAAAAAAGAAAAATGATATTAGTCTTGCACTACAAGCTCTATCTTGGGCGCAAAATGCTTCTTAGTAACTGAATATGCCATTCCCATGTTGATACTTCAAATTATACTGAAGGACCCAAAAAAATTTATAAGCACTTTTAGTGCCCAAGGCTTTAATTCAGAAGGGAGTTTCTCAAAGAAACTAAATTCTTCTACTTTCAGTGAGGTACTACAATATTAAAAATTTGGTGTTGATATTGAAGGTACATGTACATCAATATCTACGAGCTTCAGTAAGCAATAGTAATTATTTTTAGACTATTTTGAGTATGCTTTATTATGTACTATCTTTGATTAACTTTTTGTAATGTAACGGCAGGTTTGAAACAAGTATTTAAACAGCATTTGATGTGTTTAATTTACTAGTTGGAAATTGACAATATTTTGAGTGAGCAGAAAACTATCGGTAGGGAATACTTTAAAAAGTAATTCTGTGCTAAAATAAAATATGTAAAATAATAAAATGACAGTATTTGTCATTATTAAAGTATGTAGTAACTTTCGAAGTGGTTAGCGTATCTGACTGTAAATACTAGAATTCATCTTTCGCAATCCGTTGCCGCAAAAATGAGCTCTGTAATTTAGGGCCATGAATGTGTTATAAAAATGTCAAATTCTACTATTCGATCGCGCTAGGGTTGGCGAATGTTATTTTCAGCTGCCTTCCCTCAAGTCTATCTGTTTAAAATTAAGGACCATAATGCACAGATCGCTCTTGGATAGTAATATACCAAATTGTGGGGCAGCGAGTGGTAAATTTGTGGACTGCAATGTTAAAATAGGAATCGGCTCCCCTTAGTAGACAAATCGCAGACACACAAACTAATAGTGAAGTCTTAAAGCAGTACCAAATTTAGAACAAGATTATTAAAAATTGTTAAATTAAAAAGCGGGGAATAGGGGTCTTAAGTTACGAAAACAAGATAGGTAGCTTAAAATGAAACTGCAATCGCAAAAAAATTAAACAAGATAAAGGTTTGAGACGTAATGTTGACATTATTTCCTCAAGTTACAAAGCCCTATTTTGACTCTCCTAAATATTATAGCTTTCAGTTTGCGCGATTCTTGCCACTCCTTATGGTCAGCATCAAGGATGACTATTTGCATATTATTTATATTTTATATATATAAAATTTGCAATCACGCAGTGTTGGCTATAATTCGACACTTACCATTAGTCGTTACCGTGATTGCCGATCTGGTGCTCGAAACTGAGCTTGGTGCTATTTTTTAAACTACAGCTTAAAGATTTATGTTGTGGGAAACAGCCTAGATGTCTGTGAACATGGCCTAAATCGATCATGCAGTGGTATAAAATCTGTGATCCTGTCCGAAAGAGCAGGAACTCTACACACAAACAAATTATAATAATCGCTATGATACATTTGTCATGCCTGTCGTATAAACATTAACTTACATCTACAGCCTGCACGCTTTTATATACGTATGCATGTAGTAGATTATGAGGCTCCGTATAAACTACAGATTGCAATAAAACGATTGAGTGTCAACGATTATATAGCCTCTGCTACTTGCTTAGTAGTCAAACTTAATTACCCTACACAAAGCGAAATAACGCGTTTAGTAATATTGCCCAGGTTTTATTACAATACTCGCAGCCATTTTTGCTGTAATCTTGCAGTGGTTCACGATACTAAAATGTATATATAAAGAATTTTTTGATTTCTCCTGATGGCCAATCCATGGAACATTCTCATATTACTAATAGTGTTCATAGATTAGTCGATTCTCGCTAACATTCACAGCCTTACTGGTACTAAACCAAAGAATTTTAATACATGTTTTATTAATAATCTTTCTGACTTAAGTTTCTGTGATTACATCTTTTGTGGAATTAATATTCTTCTTGTACTCTGATCTTTCCTTGTTACTTGAATTATACCTAACGATTGGAATTTACTTATATTTATGCAATAGTCATTATCATATCTTTGGTTGTGTAAACTATGAGATTAAAGTATTTTGTATTTAAGCTATAAGAATAATAAAAGGATGGAAACGTTTTTCTTCTCAGTTTAAAGTTTTCCTTTTGTTACAAAGTAAAGCTTAAATTCAATTTGAATTGCCTGACGAGAATGACTTGTAGCAAAGATTGAAGTATTAATTTGTTTTCAATTTTAGTATATGTTAGATATACAGGACTGTTCCAATTTAAGTTTAATGCAAGTGTTAGATTTATTTATTTTTAGAAGCGACTGTTTATCGCAGGTTTATTTACCTATTTATTTACGAATCATACGTTATATAGTTCAGTTGTTGTGAACTGTCGATTGTTGTATTACTGCGTCATGTTACGAGAACCTTCTGAGTTTTCTTGTTGTTTTAGTTGAATATTATTGCATCAGTAGTGTATGGAATGTTCTCGCCTTTTGTCTCGTCGGGGTATAAATCCTCGTTGAAAATTTAGTTCGAGAGATAGATCTAGACTGTGTGGTTATGAGTTTAGCCATAAAAAGTGTATACTGGCGATTATTAAAGTGAAATTATTACAGATTGTAAAATACCATTATTTAAAGCTCTGGATACAACTGTGGTAATCAACAGTTATAGTGGTGATTTTTAATGTGAAGTTATCACAGATTGTATTGTAATAACAGAAGAATAATTCGTCTTGTCAACTGTGTTCTAAAGTAATCGAACCAGCCTGTGTGGAACTTGACGAAAAAGAGAATCTGAATACAACTGTGATTACCAACAGTGTAACGAACATTTGTACATACGTTTATCTTGTTTGAATATATTATTTGAAAACAAGTAGACTGTGTGCTGTTTGTTTATTGTTGAAATTTATCGCCAGCAAATCACAGACGCCTACTGTAAATAATCCATCCAATACGTAAAGCTTGATTGTGTAGTTAGCCGGTTAAGTATTAGTTTATACCAAACATTCTGAAAAATTGCATTCTGTCAATAACGTGGTCATGTCGCAGACATTGCATGTTATTCCGAAACAGATTTTCTCTTTCCTACCTTTCTGATCTGGTCCCCTCTGTAAATTTATGAAATCACGAGTTTCGTAACAGGTCCAAAAATATGTGCATAGTATTTTATTTTTTCAATGTGTAGTTGCTTAATTATTTCACCGTATCACGTCATTCTATATCAGTTTAATTTAATTGTCGTTAAGGTGAGTTGAAGATTATACAGTATAAATTATTTAAAACTTTTATTTCACAAAGTATCAGCATTTGTACATATCTCATTTCAAGTGCATACTTAACATCGCAGTCGAATATTTTATTTGCTTATCAACTAGACTTTTTTCATTCCTGTAATTGAATAAAAGTTTCGAGAAGGGGTTTGTTATCAAGCGCGTGTCGTGTGATTCCTTTACATAAACAAACCCTCAAAATAACACCATTCTGGAAATTTCTAAGTAAACAACTATAAGTAAGAGCAGGTTTATTTTAAAATGTTGATAAAAGGTATTTTATCATTTGACGAACTAAAAGAAAAGTTTTATTATCAAAACCTTGATAAACATTCTTCTTAAACCTCTATATACGTGAGATAAACATTTTTATTTTATGAATCTTTTTTAACGCGTATTTTTAGTTTAGTAAAAAATTTTAATAGAATAGTATATCTTCAATATATTAATGCAAGCTGCTGTGTTTATGCTGCTCACCCAATACTATATATTTTTTAACAAAAAAAAAGACAAAACACGAAAAACTATAATAGCTTTTATGATATGTAATTAAAAATGACATTTTTTTGCAAAGGTGGGTAAACATTTGCTGTACAAGCCTTAAAAAATGGGCCTGTTGTTGGGATGATGAGGGTTCAGAGGAATGGTAAGATGGAATGTGCGACTTTCTGCTTCTTGTGGAGGAGGGGGGTTTCTCGGTTCACTGTTGTATCGAATTCCTGGAAGAATTGCTTGTTTTTGCATTAGTGTTTCTTTAATGAGCTTCATTTTATTGAAAGATTCGGCGCCAGGAAAAGGAATCTTAAAAGGTATATTTTTTTGAGGATATCTAGGGCCTATGTGTAAAGTTTGGGGTTGGGGACGAAGACTTTCTTGATCATCTTCATAAACCATCATCATAAGTGTCGGCTCTTCTTTCTTCGTATGATGTTTTAATGAAAGTTGTCTTTGTGTATTAGGTCCACGTGGATGGGGAAATGTGCCTGGGAGTTTTTCTTCGTTAACATTAAAAGGTAATGACATTGGATATTGCTTTTCTAGTAGAAGTGGCTGGAACCTAGACTCCTCTCTGTATTCCTCGTGAAGTGGAAGTATAATTGGTTCACTTTCTTGTTCCTGTAGGAACGGTAGCTGCACATATCTTGAGTGGATTGAACGAGGTGGAGGAAGCGGTTGGCTAGCGGTGTGCAGATTTTGGGCCATAGGAAAGAATATTGGCTCTGGTAGAAGTGTTTCTTGAGCTGAAGGTATAGAAGAAGAAGAAGAATCCGAGTTTTCTGGTATAGGTATTCGGACGTACTGAGGCTGAGTAGGTAGTGGTGGAGATTCCATGAAACGGGGTATTTGTTCTAATAATGTGGGGGGTGGTCTCGGGATGTAAACGGGTTCCTCCATAACAGATTCCATTGGTGAATAATCAAAGATTGATTGGGGTGCAGAGAAAGGTCTGGGTGCAGACATTGCAAAAGGAAGTGGAGGGATCATAGGTAGGGGAGGTCTAGGATAAACGGGAACTGGCACTGGAACGTGGACAGGGTGTAATAGAACCATTACACGTTCTAAGGGTTGCATTGGAGAACGAACGTATGGATTGGGTTGTAGGAAAGGAACCACTGGAGGTGGCATCAGACCCATTAGAGGTTGGTGAAAGTGAGATTGTAACCTCCTAGATTGCATTGCTATCAATGGAGCCACACTTGATAAAGGAGCCATGGGACCCCTTTTTGTTATAAATATTTGAGGAACAATTTGAGAAGGTAAGGATTGTGGGTTTGAGAATGAAAAATATTCTAGAGGATGAGGGAAAGGAAATGCTCTGTCTGTAGATCGTGAAAGTTCTCTTGGGATTGGATAACGTCGAGGTAAACGTTGTTCATTGTATTGGAACGGTGTAAGTTGTGGTAGTTGTATTGGTAATTGTTGCCTCAATATATCTTTATTGCCAACACTTTCAGTCATTAAATCACCTTCCTCAAAAACTCTATGTATGCGGTCATTTTCGATGTCGTTACTAAAAATCGGAGTTCTTTCCAATACAATAGAAGCAACTTGGGGTGGAATTTTAGACTGTTCAAAAGGACGTTGTTGAAATTGGTTCAAAGAGTGAGGTAAGAACGGTGGTACACGTTTAGGACTGGATTTTGAATATGATTGAGGAAAAGGAAATAATGGTTTTTCTTTTGGAAATATTTTTGGTTTGTGACTGAAGGAAGGTGGAAGACCCATAGTCTTTCGAATATCTTTCTCTTCTGGCCCTCTACTGTCCTTGACCTGAATTTCATAATGAGAATTTTGTGGAGTTGGTAGATTTTGAATAACTGTTCTCATGGTCTGAATCATACCGGTAATCATGCTTTCTTTGTTGTCTGGGTTTTCCACAGAAGTTGTTTCTTTTTGTTCTGATGGAAGAAACAGGAGTAAAGTTTCGTCAATTTTATCTTTATCTTGAGGTTCAGTAACCACTGGTTGTACTGAGGATTCTACTGCCATATTGTCTTCAGGTGCTCTCTCGTCTATTGGGTAAGCCATCATATAGCTTGAACTGTATGGACCCGAATCAATCTGTGAAGAAAGCAATAAAGATTACTCTTCTAATATATACCTGCTACTTGATAGATACGAAATATATTCTAAATGATAAATACTCGGACAGTAATATTTGAACATTTTTGTACAATATTTTATATAGGGCTATTTGTGCATAACCAATTCTAGCATTTAACTGACAATAAAAGGAAGGCAGCTTCTCAACAGTGATAAGGGTTGGCAAAGTTTGTGAACAACGTATTAATCTAAAGTACAGTATTGCAAAGGTAACCGTAAGTAAATACATCGCTAAGTGATAAGGGTTGGCAAAGTTTGTGAAAAACGTATTAATATAAAGTACAGTATTGCAAAGGTAACCGTAAGTAAATACATCGCTAAGTGATAAGGGTTGACAAAGTTTGTGAGCAACGTATTAATATAAAGTACAGTACAGTATCGCAGAAGTAATCGTAAGTAAACAAACCGCTAAGTGATAATGGTTGACAAAGTTTGTGAACAACGTATTAATATAAAGTACAGTACAGTATTGCAAAGGTAACCGTAAGGTAAACAAACCACTAAGGGTTGGCAAAGTTTGTGAACAACGTATTAACATAAAGTACAGTACAGTATCGCAAAGGTAACCGTAAGTAAACAAACCACTAAGGGTTGGCAAAGTTTGTGAACAACGTATTAATATAAAGTACAGTACAGTATCACAAAGGTAACCGTAAGTAAACACACCGCTAAGTGATAAGGGTTGGCAAAGTTTGTGAACAACGTATTAATCTAAAGTACAGTATCGCAAAGGTAACCGTAAGTAAACAAACCGCTAAGTAATAAGAGTTGGCGGTTGGTGTTGTTGAAAGCTGCTTTCTTTCTAGTTTATCAGTTCAAAATTAGTGATGAATAGCGCAGATAGCCATTGTATAGTGGCAGTTCTGGATATAGCGAACAGGGGGTGCTCAACTTAATTGTGGAGGATACCCGTATTTTATCTCATTTACAATGGTTTAAATTTTATACATCACTGAGATCCGCCTTATGCATGTTACACGGGTGAATTGTACCGTGTATTTTTTCTTAAGCTCTTATTGAACTAAAGTGTTTAAAACTGCTTAACAAGCTACACACTCGCAAAAGAAAAACAAAAGAGCACAGAACTATCATAACTAACTTACCAGTATCTCCTCAGCTTCATTTTTATTTGCTAAGGTAAGTTCTGCAGCTCCTAGATGAGGAAAACGAGAGAGATTTTTTTTCACTTAACTGATTGAATTAGTACTTTTATTAAATAAATTAACTTATCAATTGATATTTCATTAATTCTTTTCTCATACACAAGTCTCTCTGCTCATAATCTTACTCAAATTACACAAGAGCATGTATAGTTTCCAAAAGTTTAGTTCGAGAAGGAAAAATTAAATTGGTATTAGTCTGGTTGCACCATATGGTTTTCTTACATGTGAACAAAATGCTGGTTGTTTTAGCAACATCAACTGAGAAGGTGAAACATGCGCACCATCACCTTGATGCTGGAGATGATCATGTGTTGAAACAACAAAATATAACGATTGTTCCTTGGATATTCCTTTGATGTAACATGGAAAATGAGAAATTTCCTTAACATCTTCACTTTAAACTTCCGAGTTAATATTTCGACTCTAAGAAATATTTCAACATCGGTAAACTTGCACCAATACAGAGTTAACCGTAATCTACTTGCAATAACGGAATAAAAAACCTTGCCTAATTCGTAAATGTTTAATAGTTATAATTCCAGCGAACGAATTAACCTTCTTAATAAATAAACGGACACTAGGCTTTGTGTGTGTGTGTATAAATACTTCATCGTCACGAAGCTTTAAACAAGAATATCGCTTTGAATGACGGTATACACGCCCCAAAAATGTGAGGAGTATGTGTAATAATAAAGCGAATATATTATTTTAGCCGTGTGCAACAGTTATGCCTAATAAGACTAATAAAATTCACTCCTGTGGTGGGGTTGTGACGTCAGAAGGTGTCATTTTCCAAACCTTTGTTTTTTCCTTCACTGCGATTCAATAGTTTAGTCGCATAATTATAACAGTGAAAACAGTAATATACGAATGATTTGTGTTCTCTCTTTAGCGACCTTGACCTTTGATCTTAGTCTAGAGGTCTACAAGGTATACAATAAATCGTATACAGTCAAACCTGTAGCACTATTTAATCATTATCAGGAACTCCCTATGAACGCTGAGTACTGTTTAGTGTATTGACCAAAGAAATGTTGTGTAACCTAGATATATTACCGGTTTACGAGGAAAAGTCACTGACAAGAGGTTGAAGAAACACAATGGATCCGTGTCGTACACGCGCACTGAGCTGTTGGATTAAGTTGTGTGAGCACAGACGAGTGGTTTTCAGAAAAAGAGGAGTAAACTTGCATTTCAAGTTTAACAAAAAATATGCAAACCGGCATTTCATGTTTTAGTTACTACTTTTAAAAAACTGTTATCAACCTGTACGTGTTTCACTGGCGGATATTGTACTAAAAGAAAAAATGTCTTTCTCTAGATGGAGGATGTTCTAGAAATAATCATCTGTGTTTGCAACTAATGTCTTATTATTTATGTTTTCGTTAGACATCTTAACAGATCACCTAATTCGACAACATAAAATTCAAATTAATCCAGCGATTAAAACTGGGGAAGAAGAGACAAATGGCGGTTTCTGTGAGACATCACTAGTCGGTTGATACGGTACATCTACGCTTATTATCCATAGCGTAGGGCCTTCAGTAAATTTGATGTGGCCCAGGCTTGGTCAGCCTTCATTGCCTCCCTCCCCCCTTTTCCTAAGCCTTTTTGTGAAATGACCGGCCTGAATGCCGACAATTTACTCAACAGCTTTAGAAAGAGATGTTGGACCAGTTTTGCAAAACGTAAGTCTGTTTATATGATGGTGCAAGCTTAAATCTGTTCAACACTAATGAAAAAGTTTCTGTGAATGATGCCAGCTAAAGGGTTAGTTATGCCAGCTCAGGGTAGTATGAGCAGTGCGCCTGCCACAGACAAAGCAACGAATTGTAGGAGACTACGATAGGTCGGCGTCGATTAGTTTTTGTTGTTTTGTTTTTTTTAGGAGGAGGGGCGCGGAATTCAAAACCCTGTGACAAAACGGCAAACTTCAGTAGACGTAGGCAGCTAAACTATTCAAAACGCATTGACCAAATAGCAAACTTCGGTTGATAACGCCAGCTGAACCTTTCAAAACCCTGTGATGAAACATCAAACTAGTAGCTGACGCCAGCTAAACCTAACAAAAAGCTCTAATGAAACGGCAAACTTCGGTAGATAATGCTAGCTAAATTATTCAAAAACGAAACACCACGCTTCAGTATATGATTTTAAACTTTGTAGAACTTTTTGACACAGCAGCAGAGTTACGTTTGTAATACCAGCCAAATCTGGTAAATTGCTAAAATGAAACGGTAGGCTTCCGTATATGATGTTAGCTTAAGTTGTTGCACTTTGTGACGTCACTGGAGGAAGACAAACATTTTATTAGTTGCGTAACATAGTACTGACATTGACCTCAGAACGTCATCAGTCAGATAACAACCAGGAAATATGAATGTACTGGAACGAATAATAAAACTTGTAATAATGCGTTTCGACTGAAGCATTGAACCGTTCGATCTGGCCCTCTGGTTGCTGGCTTTACGCGCTGTGGGCTAAAAGCAACACTAACAAGACATCTGTCTAACGCCACAATTATCCGGACAATACTGAAATATTCATTGAATTCGTTATAAACCAGCAAACTTGCTAGTATCGGCATTTCCATGACAGTAAAACAATAAAATGACATGAGAAATGGTTCCTTTACAATTTATACCCGTATTGATAAATGGTACTTACAAAAGCACAATACTTTGTCATTGTCATCTGGCTACAGAAAAACATGTTGAAAAAATTAACAGGAATTAGGCGTAATATTGTTATGAAATCGTTCAAATCTAATACTAACTTACTATGTACCTTATATAGCCACATGTTTCTGTGGATTGTATAAAAAATCTTTAGTTCGCTTTTTTTTGTACATTTTTTTATCATCAATAGAGAACAGTAATATCTAAACGTATAACCACTCAGGATAGTTCTATGTCATTGTTAACTGGAGAGCTTTTACTTAATTGGTTAACAGCATTAGTCCATCAGTAACAAACTAGATTTTAACACAAGCGTCTTAAAATATCTTCCACTCAAAACAGACGTCAATATTAGTGTGTTCAACTTTCAAGTTCCAGGCTCTCATTTCTGCCTTTTTTTTTAAACTATTTCACCAATATGAGGAAGCAGAGTTTGAAATTATTATGCTAAAACCATTTACTCACCAATAAGAAGGAAGCAGCATAAAACCCAGACAGGCTTCACCATCTTGTAGATTGCACAAGGCTGCGGGTTTCTAAACTAGAAATACAAAAAAAAAATACTTAGTTCATAGATGTAAAAGTTGAAAATGTCATTTATTCAGTTTTTATTTTTGAATAAAGTTTTCATATGCATTTAAATAATTCGGTTATGGCTATGTTGAACCTAAAGTTTTTGTGTATCTATACCAAAGTAATGAAAAATATACTTTGAAATATATGGTATGATCATTGTAATATTATCTTAGTGTGACGATTCTCTGTCTTGCCATGTTATCTTGAAATAAAAAAAATTCCAAAGTTTGCCAAAGAAACATAAATTTACAAGTTACTTTTGAATGACGTTTTCTGTATTTAGAAGATAAAAGATTAAAATTAGCATTAATAAACTTACGTCTAACTCCGAATAAATGTGAAACAAATCTGAAACTAGTTTATTGACGTTTGAAATCCTGTTTCAACTGTTGTCTTATTTGTTAATATTCAATATGTTACTGAATTGAAAAACTTGCTGATTCAGTTCTCGGGTGTGGGAGTGTATTCTTGCTTCGAAAAGTAGGCTGGTCAAGTACATTAAAGCATGACTTTAAACGCATCCATTTAACCTGTCTGAGCATCACTGGCAATGACCCGGTTGTTGTCCACAATCCAAGAGGTAACTCGGTTAACTTCACGGTACTGGATAAAGATTTGTTAAATACCCATTACAGGTCAGTGACATCTACTGTTTGCTGGTAAACAAGTAGGTGGCGCTGTCTATAATATTCTGATAGCTTGGTATTTTGGGGAACTGCCAAAGTGGGTTTTATGCTTAAAACATATTTCAGTGCATTTTGGTATTGCAACAACACAATGTAAACTACAATAGTTTATATCTATTTTAACCATACTACGTATTCAGTAGATTAACTAATCTTATAAAAGTCTATAGACAATGTTTAAAATGACTGCATGTCTCTTCTGCTGACGTAGGAAATGTCTAAGACAACGTTTAAGACACTTCATCTTTTTCCTTCTGGTTTTGAACATTACTGATTTAAGAAATGTGTGTGAGGACGTTGAACTCTGTCACTGCCTGAGACAGATATATGGAATGCACTATATAACATTTTGATTGTCCTTAAAAAGTGTGATATTAACCACACATATTCCTTTCAAACTTCTTAAAGTTTACTAATATCAGATACGTAATGAAATATTAAATCATGTATCCTTTGTGTGTGTGTGTGTATCTTACTGTACTCGTCAGTGAATCTTCTGGTAACCTTCAGGTTCCGAACAATACTTGCTTAAGAAAAAATCTAGAAAAAAAAACGAATTTTGGTCTTGTTTGTGTATTTCATTTAGTTTCAGACAATTTGTTTGAAGACAAGCATAAAGTTGACGATTCTTGTGTCGTTAATGTACATTCTTGGAGTCCTGCCCCCTTTGAGAAGCTGTTGTCAAATGCTGTTATACTAAACCTTGACTAATACGTCAACGTCATAAATATATAATTACACAAATACACAATTTATTTTTGGGTGACTATCCCAAGTTTTTTGCTTACGTCTGAGTGATGTTCCTAAGGGCAGGGTTGCATCTTGGATCCAGTTGCATCGTTAAGAGAAAGATGTTTTTAAGGAAATTGATTTAGAACTCTGTTGTAATTGTGTTAACACTATGGTTCAGATGAACAGGCGCATCTCTTTTTGAAAAAAAAAGTAATCGTTTGAACAATAACAACTGATGGATTCCGTAATAAATAGCATTCATACTTGAACTTCACACCTAGTATCAATATAAACATGTTCAGTGTGAAGTCAGCTGTCGTGATTCTCCAGTCATACTCACAAGGGATAAGAAACCATCATGTATCCCTCCAAATGTTTTGTAAGAGGTTATCAACTGTCTTGAGCTGTGTGATAGGGTTGCTTTTTTAATTTAAATTTATATTCGTTTCATGGAACTTCAAATAAGGTAACGAATAAATAGATAGTTGGGAGAATTATGTTTCCCCAACTATTTACGACGTGTTTTGTAAGAAACTGTTTTACGATGATACAACTCTAAGCTATTAAGAAGTGTCTGCATACTCTACGGGTGAGCACACGTATGAACTTCCAATATGTTGCAAGTCCTGTTTTTCTCCTAGAATGAAAACAATGTTTTGTTTCCACTTAACACTGGCCCGACTACACCTAAGATCATTGATAGATTCTTAGTTGCAGATGTTCACCCTGGTGCTTGTTTCATGACCGCTTCCTCAAAAGATCCATGAACCAGCAACCTCAACCTAAGTCTGTAACAATATGACGTCATCTCGACTACCTACTTGGCTTTGTTTTAAAACAAATGAATGTATAAAGCCTTGAACGTTACGGTTCGTGCATTCTTCTCGCCCCACTGTCATCTCCGCAGCAATAGCACAAATGAGCCGCGTTAGATCGTAAGTTGACGTTTTTTCAAGCAATTCAACGGCATATATTTTCATGCGTGGAATAATCCTCATGACCTAGCGCCCTACTTACTAGGAAGGATAGTTCTCGCCCCGTGACTTCCAAATGTGTTTTATTGGTAAAGGAAGGACAGGCAGTTTCTCTTTGTATTATTATTATTATTATATGGTTCGTTATATAATGTCATTTGTCACAATTAAGTACCAGAAATTGTAAAAAGAACCTGGAAAACGGAACAATCTTACTGTAATAAAATATTTATTTACCAAATAAAACCGACCTAAGATAGATTGAACTTTCACACATCTGTAATAAAATATTTATTTACTAAATAAAACCGACCTAAGATATAGATTAAACTTTCACACAATCACTAAGAACAAAAATAGTCTGTCTTTTTTTTCTTATTTTTTTGTTGTTGATGGTGGTGGACGTACATGATCGTACTAATTTTTTGTGTTGGGATACTTTACCATTCAATACAATTGAGGCATTTTTATTGTATAAATATAAATGAGATGTTGGTTTTGTTACCTAAAGTGTATGACGTGAATAAAAAATGCATTCTTCGAAACGATTGATATTTGTCGTATTCACATGGAGACTAAAATCATGTTTCCCTTCTTAATTCTTCACAGCGAGCATAGTTGATAGTTTTAGCTTTTTTTTTCACTCAAATATTAATAGGTTAAAATAAGTTTTGTGTGTCTTATATCTGACATGGTAATCATCCACCAACTCTCCTCTTTTTTTTTAGTAAGGTATTATGTCTATTTTTTAAATAGATTTAGGGATAAGCATGTTTTTCATCCACATCTTTACGATTCAGTGAGTTAAATGTATCTTAAATAATCGTTATAAAATGTAAGACAAGTAACAGAGAAAATATGTATTATAAGAATTACGCTTAGTTCTACTAAATATGATTCTTAATTCAGAGTTTTTAATGTATGAAAAAATTAGAACTGTAAATAAGGAGCCTAAAGTTAAGTAGCAATTACCTTGAATAGGATATTGTTGTTTTTAAACTTTGTCATATAATGTAAATATATTTAACAACGGTATCTATACACGGTTTTACGTAGTACATAAGTGTAGTTTCTCAAGTATTATCTGTGCTGTAACATGGCTTATAACTTATGATTTTAATATTTTTATAACTTATTCACGAACTAAAGAAGTGAAACGAAAATGTTGTCAGTTATTGGTGTAGAATATTTGAATAAAACATTGCTGAAATAGTTAATACAAACAGTATTGGTAGTATTGCAAATTTCAAACATAAAAAAATAATAAGTAAGTACAAAATAATAATAGTGAATACGAAAACTTTAAGACAGTGTGATACACCATCATTTGAATAACTATTTAGATTTTATTAAGAAGGATTTCTGGTTAAAAGATAAAGTTATGGCACAGCTTTTGTTTCTGTAGAGAAATCTGGAATGGTTGGAGTTAAGCTGAACCAAATTACAAAGTGACACCTTGTGTTCAGTCCAAGCAGCGTCCAGTACTTCCATTTAGAGTTTTGTTTCTCTGTAGTTAGACACAAAAGCTACACAATGGGCTATCCGTACTTTGACAAACACGTGTATCGAAACTCGGTATTTAGCGTTATGTGTCCGCAGACTTACCGCTGTGCTACTTGGGGGGCTTCAGTTAAAGATGCTCACTCGTGGTTGATTAATTTGTTTGTTTGTTTTGGAATTAAGCACAAAGCTATACAATGGGCTATCTGTGCTCTGCCCACCACAGGTAGCGAAACCCGGTTTCTAGCGTTGTAAGTCCGCAGGCATTCCGATGTGCCACTTGGGGGGCTTCAGTTAAAGATGCTCACCCGTGGTTGATTTGATCCGCCAATTCACTCAAGACTCAAAACATCTTTTATTAGAGTCTTTTTCGAAGTATGCTTTCAGGTGTTTTCGCACAGCCTGACAAGGTGTTTCATTTACTTTTAATATTAAATAACACAATAATGTTACAACTAATAAACTAAGTAACACAACGTATTATTTAATTATATATGTATGTATGTATTAGATTAGATACGTAAAGTAAGCAGCACTCTGGAAAAAATGTTTTCTCGTATATTAAAATATTCATCTGTTATGATGTGAATTTTGTTACAAGTTGTAGAATATGAATTACTTACATAAGCAGCAAATATAGCGTTATAATAAACTGTTCGATTTTGTTTTAGATTTGGAACTGAAGTATCGTTAACGTTGAATATATTAATTAGTGGATTCGTGAAAATGTATTAATAAGATATTTATGTAAGATAAAGAGAATTGTACAGTTATAAGTAAATATTCAGCTATCAGAATCCTTAACTGTGACTTCCAATTTAGCGAAGTGCAACATGTTACGTTATCCTGGTGGTTTTATCTATTTTAGATACTGATAAAATGTTGATGTGAGATAAAGAGGATTGTACAGTTATAGATAAATCTTCAGTTATTAAAATACTTAAATGTGACTTCCAATTTAGAGAGGCGAAACGTGAAGTGTGACGTTATCCTGAAGTTATTTCGATCTTTAAAATGAAAAACAAAAAGAGTAATCCTGTAATAGGATAGTTTCGAAACTTTAGTATCTATTTTTCAATAATATCATAAAATTCTAGCAAAGTAAGCGGAAGACTTGTTAAGAAAATCTTGTCTTTTCAGTTTTGGTAGAACAAAAAAATTATGTTTGAGAAGTTTTATATAATCTAAGAAATATTACTGACTGTTTGTTGAATTTTGTTGTCATACCAAGTAAAACTGTGATACCGAAAAAGAGAGACTTACCAACGTATTCTTCTAACTGGCTTGGATGAAGCAGTATAATATACTTGTCAGGTTTCAGAAGTGTCTGGAAGTTTAGCTCACCTGCGAGCAAGTCTTTGTGGATTCTGGAGTGTAGAGCTCTTTATACACTGCAGCAGGAAACTCCCTAGGTCCCCAATTAGTCGGAAGCTCCCAGCAATCCGTGCTCGTCTTCAATAAAGTACGCGCGTGCGTAACGACCGTGCCACGAGTTGTTTTCCTCCAAGACCTGCTTACCAGCCGGTTCACTAGCCCACATTCAGACCCGTGTAAGTCCATGACTTGGACTTGAGAGTTTCAACTGAATCCTTATTGGTCAGCTGTACATGTAAGGTGGTGCATTCATTTATATCAGTACCCGTTCCCGTGAAGTAGTCAAACAAGACCTAGGAAGATAAGTTTTACCCCCACCCCCACTAAAAATACCCTTACTTTTTTTTTCAAACTGGGACGGTATAACTTCAAGGATGGTGTATTAGTGTTTGGCAAGGTGCAAAGTATTGTGTAAATGTTAATTTACAATCGCTAAAATTCCTTGTGTATTTTATGATAATCACGCGAAACTTCTTGTCTTGCGATTACACGAATGGAAGTCCCTGCCTTGTCTCGTCCCAGAGAAACAATATACTTTACAAAAGTGACCTACTGGCCTTTCTCTAAACTGACATACTGGCCTCTAGTCTCCATGGTTCACGTGATTTCTAACAATTATTCTATTGTGTTAGCCAATCTGGGATAGGGCACTAACCCTAAAAGTACCTGTCATCCTGGTCTAACTCCTCCATGCCCAGGACTGAGGAAAATAAAGACAATTGTACTTTTCACAAATATTTCATTTATTACGACCACGGTTTCGCCCACAAAAACATCGTCAGGTACCTTTACGGGTGAAACCGTGGTCGTAATAAGTGAAATATTGTGTAATTATGGAGTTTCACAAAGTACCGACGGTTTCAAGTATTGATTATATATCTCTCATGCCCCTTTTATTGTATCCTAAAGGCTTGTGTCGAAATCACGATTGAAAACAGGGAACGCGGTAACGGAGAGTGGAGATGAGGCAAACTGGTCAGAACTACAACAGTGAGTCGTTAATGATGAGTATATTAAAAAAGTTGATTACTTTGTTAATAGGCTCTACTAGCAAGTGCACGTTTTCATCTTTATTACCCAGTTATTCCTATTCAAACTTTAGATTAAATTCACCCATTCGTGGAAAAAGTAATAGAATGCAATAAACCCAAGAGGTTGAATTCAAGTTGCACTTTTGAAGAAACCCGGTTTCGGTGTCGTAGAGATAAACCCAAATTCATTCTTCACAGATGGTACTGTGTGATACCTATAGATGAGAATTGTTACGTCTCACACTCAGTGGAGCAGCAAATACGTCTTCGATAGAGTTCAATTCTATTCACTAATTCTTCGGTTTCACAGTCGAGGCTGCGAGTATTCCACTAATGCCTCTCAACTCTTCCTCCAATGGGCATTGTTGCAAATCACCGTTAGTTGCTGAAACGCTCGCGATGTTTCCCACGTACCTAGCTCTGACCCAATGAAATCAGGAGTTCAGCGAACCGTAGATCTGGTGTTTGAAGGCTTAAAAAATAACTGTAAACATTAATCACATGAAAGAATTTTAGATATAAATAAAAATTAAAAATGTTCATTAGTTACAGAATTTTATAGTAATTTACTACATAGAATTGTATAGTAATTTAGTTTTTTCTTTTATTTATCTATTTATTTCTGACTATTCTATCATACACAGATTTTAAGAAGTCTCTGTGATTTCATTTGTAGCGCTTAATTATACAGACCATGTCCTATTTATTACAATAATGAATGTAGTTCTTAGATGGGTTGATTATAGCTAATATCGCTAATACTCCACTTCTGAGTTGGCCTAGTATGTTACATAGCATGAGATAAAACATTTTTTATTAAAGTATTCGCAAACAAAGGGTTAAAAAAGTGACTACCAAACCTATCTGGCCAGCTTCAATTCCTCTATTACATAATGTGCGTATAAAACAAACATTACGGTATAACTTTTTTTTTCTAAAATATTCGGGTGTGTAGCAAGAACTGCTCAAAATAAGTTTATATATATGTATATATATATATATGCACAACAAAAATATCCAAGAATAACTGTTTATAAAATACACTTACACACACATCGTATATATATAACTTAAACATACGTAGTTCGTTTTCTCACACATAATGCCCACCAATGGCTCAGTGGTAAGTCTGAAGGCTTATAATGCTAAACACCGAGTTTCGATACCCGTGATAGACATTGCACAGATAATCTATTGTGTAGCATTGTGCTTAACAACAAACAAACTTAAAGATAATATATATATATATATATATATAAGATTTTACCGGTTTCGTGGCTTAGCAACCATTCTTCAGATATAAATTCTGAAGATGTAAACTCAAACCATCTATCAAGAGAAATAACATAAAACGGCTAAAAGTGGGATTAGGTAGAGCAGCGGTAAGTCTGAGAGCTTATAACCCTAAAAAATCAGGTTTTAATACCTGGGATGGGCAGAGGTCAGATAGCCCATTGTGTAGTTTTGCGCTTAACGATAAACAAACAAGGTGAATCTGAAAACATCATGAGGTAACAAAACTATACTTCCAATTCATGCCCGACTCTAATGCTTGTTATTCTGTGATATTACCTAGTTTGATTATATATGGTTTTTGTAGATTGAAGTTATCGTGTTGACTACACCAAATCTACTGTAATTTAAATTATAAATGAACCTTACTATGTGATATATATATATATATGTATTACTCACTTAAAAAGTTAATGTTTGTATAGAATGTTTCGTCGCTGAGTGTTTAGTCTTTATCAGTGCAACTTCCGCATGTTTTATCTTTTTAACTTCTATAAATATCGCATCATTTTCATGTTACTTTCTTTGTCTTTTTAGTTAGTTTTAGTAGAATAAAAATGATAGAAGAGCTTGCCTCCGTTTTGATTCTCTCTACTGATATATATACATTCATATTTACACGTAATATTAGGAACTTTTTTTTTTTATAGACGGATTCAGTCATTGTGATTACAGGCTACCGATAGATGTGCCGGTTAATAACGATTTGGCAAACTTAGCTCCAGAACTGTATACGATTTGGCAGGGACTCGATAATTATCTAATGGTTCGGAGGGTGAGAAAAAAAGTTTTGTTTTGTTTTCTGACGAAGTATCCAGCACTGACTACTTTTATACTCTTTGTGCTTGACATAGCCGAGATGTTACTAAGATAAGCAGTTCTAAAAAAGTAGAAACACTAGTTTCAGTGGCTTTGTAATAACGAGGGATATGGTAGCGCAAGTTTCTTCCAGGCGAAACTTACATACACACGCATACGATCTTACGCTAAGATTAAAAAAGTTGTTCTTATAAACTCTTCTCTGCTTTAATTTTGGTTTTTTTGCTATTATATATTTTTAATTTTTTATAAATAATTTTAACCTTTCTCTCTGTCTCTGTGTATGCACTTTTATATAAAACGAAATTGCAGGAATAATACTTTATATGATGCTGATAAAATAACTTGAATCATTCACACATATCCGCAATTTTTTTTTTATCACATGCATTATTGATATACGTATATTGATATATTTACACAAACACATGCATACTTATGCGGGCATTCATGAGATACAAATATATATGCGCAACAAATTAGGTCTAAGTTCATAAATTATAAACTTTAAATAGAAGCGCCAATAAAACTATCTAGTTATGAAACGAGCTAACGGTATTAATATACCAGAAACTTCTTAACATTTTCTTTAACAGCGCCCCCGATGACCCAGCAGTAACTTCTAAAGTTTAAAACGTTAAAATTCTGGGTTCGATAACCCGTGGTTGACACAGCATATCCAGTCCGTTGTACAGCTTTGTGCTTTAGAACAGCGGAACAAATCTTTAACTAATTCATCTATCGAACGTGAAACTCTATCTGTTAAATCGAATGAATGTTGATCCCAAGGTTAATGTTCTAATACTTTGTATCAGATGTTAAACTAGAATCAAGTTATGTTTTATGAACAGTCAACCTTAAAACCAGATGTAAACAATTTAACCATTAGAGTCAGTTATAAAATCAGAAGTAAATGAATCAACCATTATAAACAAATTTTTACATAGAACCAAAACATTTCATCATTAGTCAACTGTATAACTAGAACAAAAAAATATAAATATTAAATACTACCGTTGGAGTCAAGTGTGAAATTACGACCAAAAAAATGTATGATTTAGAGTCAAATAAATAAAAAAAAACTAAAATCAAATGAGAAATCAAGATCAACAAGTATGATCGTTAGAGTCAGTTGTAAAACTAGAGCAAAAAAAACTTATTGAATAAACTTAGTGTGAAAGTAAAACTAAATAATCTAATCTTCGAAATTAGTTATTGAACTAGAGCTAAAATATATCATCATTAGTTTCCAACGTAAAACTATAAAACCAAACATTATACAATTTTTAGAGGATAGTGTGTCAAACCAAAGTTAAGCAATGTAATCTTTAGCCCAAAATATGAAGCTTTAGTGGTTAATTATAATATTTTAAAATGAATTTTGAAACCAGAAAAGCCCCCCCTCCCTCCAGTCTGCAGGTTTACGACGCTAAAAATCAGGTTTTCTTATGCGTGGAGAGCACAGAACAAATAGACAACTATGTATATTTGCGCCCCCCAGTAGCACAGCGGTATGTCTGTGGACTTACAACGCTAGAATCCGGGTTTCGATACCCGTGGTGGGCAGAGCACAGATAGCCCATTGTGTAGCTTTGTGCTTAATTTCAAACAAACAAACAAATGTATATTTGCGCTTAACAACAAACAAACAAATAGAAAACATCTTAATTTAATAGTTAGATAATTTTGGCATTGAAAAGTCGATCAACAATCTGGTGTTAAAACAGCCTGATATTATGAAATCGGTTGTAGGACCTTTAATTGAATAATAATGTTTACAATAAAACTTAGAAATGTCTTGAACCAAAAAGTTACGGCTTATATG